AGCACAGCCAGGTTCTTCTCTAGACCAGGTAAAGTCTAACGGAGTGGAGATCTTCCAACTTCTCTGCTTCAACCGGCGGGTACTGCATCAAAAACTTTCAAATTTGAAGTGTTTTATTCATACGGATGGCAAGACCTAGCTATCTTAGCCGCTCTCTCTTGATTCGCTGAACTATGTCAATATCCCCATATATATCATTGACTGGCTTATTCGCCGTTCCCAACTCTTAGAAGACCATACATCTGATGCAAAACCTTTCACTCAAAAGCTCCCAGGGCTGCTTCATCAGTAGTTGACATCGTCCAGAGTTTGGTTTTCGTTCGCCGAGAGGAGACCTTACTTTTCAATTGCCTACTCAGTCCCAAGTAGCACTTGTTGGCAAGAGTGATTCTGCGTTGAATTTTAAGGCTGATATTATTGTTGGTGTAGATGCTGGTTCCAAGATAAACGAAATTATCTACGATTTCAAGCTTTTAATTGTCAACAGTGATGTGGCAGCCGAGTCGGTAATGATATAAGGGTTTGCTTGTTTGGAGGATAAGGAGTCACCTCGTCTGGAACCTCACGTGTTGTCGAACGTCTCGTAAAGGTCCTTCTTAAATCTGAGTCGGTAATGCTGTAAGGATTTTCTTCTTTAGAGAATAAGGAGTCACCTCGTCTGGAACCTCGTTTGGTGTCGAAAGTCTCGAAAATGTCCTTATCAATTCTAACTGCGCTCTGGTTATTGTCCAGCGTCGTCACAATTTTTCTGGACTGTGCAGAACACATTTAGATTCCAATAATGCATACCTTTTATTGTAAAGAAGCTGAGGTATGAACCTTATTAGTTCTTCATCGTATTTGAATAGCTCGACCGGCAATTCTTTAGACCCGCCACTTTGTTGTTTTTTATGTTTGCTTCTCAAACTTCTTCATAGAAATGCTATGAAACATTTTTTCCATCGTCATCGATTGGGGTTTCTGGGTTTGCCAATTCTTGTTGCTCAATTTTGACTGCAGGCGGGAGAAGTGTTCCCTTCATAAATTTAGTATACTCTGGGCATCAGTGGCTAGATCACCGCTTTATATCCTACAAGAGTTTGCTGCGGTCTTGAGACCTTCCGTAAGTCAGCGTATCTGTCCGTTCGTGTCTTTGTCAGCCAGCTTTTCAAGCTCTTCATATTCAGGTATTTCGGTTTCTTTAATTTTTTTTCTTTGGAAATGTATTTTGCCCCCCTCTTCAACTCTCTCAGTATATATCCCACACCGGCCGTGAAGTGATCAATCGTAAATTTACGGAGTAGGAAGTCTGTTTAGCTTGGGGAATTTTCTTGTGCTGGAATCTAGTACTAAAAATAACCCAGTTGGGACGGTTTCGTCGTGAAGGCTGAAGATACCTCTTTTTCCATCCTAGCGTTAATTTCATTAGGCGCAATTCGGATATTGTGAGAGAGGCAGCGCTCATAAAAAGCATCCTTGGTTACATCATCCTTCACTTCCATCGGGGCGCGATCTGTTGAAAAATTGTGATTTAGGGTATCAAATTTTGCGCTCCTTTAAATGGCCGTGCTTTTCCCGTCCAACAGACTTCTTGGCCGGCGGTGATATTAGGTTTTAATCTTTCGACGGCATTGACGAGATGGGGAGTGGCACAGTCGCAATCAAGGGATCGTACATTCCAGTTGCATGCCCTTAAATAGCGATCGTTTAAACGTTAGCGGAGGCCGTCATCTAGAGGATGTGCCTTTAGCTGAGGTTTTTTTGTTTATTTTCATCAGTGTATATCTCTCATGTGGTGGGTCTCAAACCCCACGCACAACCGCATGGGGATTTGTCTACTCATTTTAGTCCCCCGGATACTTGTTTGCTACCAGAAGGACTTTTGGTATATGAGCTGCTTGAACTATGAGTTAATTATTTATTATCAAAAATTGTTTAGGTTTAAGTTTCTTATGTACCGTTGTTCCTAATGGGTGTGCACTACACATCTTTCAGCTCAAAGGTGAATCGCATTTAAAAGTATTTAATAATAGGGTTGTGGTTCAATAAACGATTGGGTAAAACAGGTTCGCTGAACAACACACATGCCTTTCGCAAAACAGATAAAATTGAAAATTATGCGAAAGGTTGAATGCTGTGGAACGAAATATTCGCATAATGAAGACGTGACATAATAACAAGGGTGTAGAAACAGAAGATGAAACAAAATTGTTTAAATATTTTTAATGAAGAGGAAATAAAATGGAATACTTTTGCATATATTTGTTAAAAACCTTGATTTAATAAAGGGCATTCATGTTTTGATTTGGGGAAAAAGGACTATTTTCAACTATTTTTTCTTTATATAAATTCAATGTTTTATTCAAACTTTTCACGGTCTTAAAGGTATGCGTTTAGAAAAACAAAATGTCTGAAATTTTCAATAAAAATGTTCATAACTCCCCCCTTGCGTTGACATTTCCATTGACCACCCGGACCATTGACAGTTGAACTCAGGATCATGCGAATTGAAAAAAATGGGTGTTCAGTTAATGAAAATATTGAAATTAAATTTTTGCAGGTTTTGGCAAAATTAGCTCAATCTTTTTGTGCCTTTCATATGCATGAAATACTATAATAACTTTGGTTCTATCTACATAAATACCAGAAGGAGAAGAGATATATAATTGGGGGCCGAGCTGCTCCTCGAATTTGTGGTTTTGCGTCTTGATGTTTTTCCAACAAATGGAGAGACCTACAGTTTATACTAAGTCGCCTCCGAACGGCTGACGATTTTTTGTAAAGAGCCTTTACTTCGTTTAAGAAGTACACTCATAGTGGTTGACATTCCCTGCCGAGAGGCGCCCGGAATTAGAAAATTTGGCTTAAATTAATTTTCAATAACTTTTTGGATGCTAGTACGTCACCAAGATTTGAATCCGAGCCTTCCGAATGGCAAATTATGGATCACAAATGTGTCAGAGAAGCGTGTATAGATCATAGAATTTGGTTTTCTGTAACAAATAAATATTTGACACCGAAAATGATCGAAATCAGAATACTTGAATATGGTCATTAAAAGTAGAAAGGCTTCCGCAAGACCGAAGATAGCTCTTATTTTTTGTTTTAATACGTGTTTGTAATACGTGGGCGGGCTTTTACATTTTGGGATTTAAATTTCGCGAAGGTTATCCAAAATCACTTGTTGCTCCGTAAACTATTATTGCTGTGGGCAAACTGATATTGCAAGATGGTCTTTTGATCTCTCGTGAGATAACTAAAGCCATTGACACGTCTCTGACATCGAAAATAACAGTAGCAGTCGATTGTAAAGGTGTTTAAAGGTGAGCCAAATCCAAAGAAAATTTTTCGCGCACGAAGCTCTGCCGAGCAAGTGATTGCTTTTTGTCTTAATCGAAACACTAGAACCACGCAGAACAGTAAATTTTAGGTGACGCACAATCGTTTGCTTTCCAGTTGTCTGGCACGAAAAATCAAAAAACATACAACCGAAGAGGGATCATACTTCGCCACGGCAATGCGAGCTCTCACACCACTGAAACAAATACATTTTTAGGCACTCAAAACATTGATTTGAAGAGCCAACCACCGTAAAGTCTTGAGTTGACACCAAATGGCTTATTTTTATTCCCACACGTCAAGCATAAACTGAGAGGTCAACCTTTTTTGACACCTGAAAAGGCGGTTGATGCGGTCAGATTGGAGTTACCTCTATCGGAGTGGCAAAAGTACTTCAGCAATTGGCTCAAAGGCATGCAAAAGAGTATAGATCTTAATAGAAGATAATTTGGAAAACAATAAAGCCATTTCTCGATTATTAATATTTGATTTTTGACTCTCTTCCTGAAATATTGTATACAGGGTAGCTCTCGTTTATCAAATTTTATATTATACTAAAATGTTTTGCTCGAAATTCAATTTTTTTTATACTTTAAATAAATTAATTTGTATACGTATTAGATCGACACGTCAAAAGTATGCTATTGTGAACAGCTAAAATGTCTAAAGTTCACAATAATGCTATTCTCCATCGAAAACGCGTCACACATGACGCTTTGTAACCGCTGAAGCAATTTTTGCCGAGTTTCTCCTCCAGTTTGTGGTTTTGCATCATGATGTTTTTCCAACATATGAAGGGACCAACAGTTTATACTAAGCCGCCTCCGAACTGCTAATGGTTTTTGTACGAGGAGCCTTTATTTCATGTTCGAAACACACTCGGACGGCTTGGCATTCCCTGTCGAGGGGTGACCGCATTTAGAAAATTTAATTTAATGTTTTATTTAAATTATTTTCTATAAAAATGTTGGTCGTACCAGAATTTCAACTCTGACCGTTCCGAATGGCAGTACGCTTAGCTAACCACTCAACTATCGCCACAATACCAAATGAAAATTCGTTCGATCGCCACTTCCGATCATATACGAAGATCATCTATTGTACTATTTCAAAGCCAAAACAAGCGCTCACTTTTATGATACACTTTCTGCACATTATAAGTGTATCCGGCGAACCAAAATAAAGCAAACAAACGCATTTTTCATACTGATTTTAAAATTGTATGATTAATATTATTACTTTTATTAGCATCGTCAATAATTTATGGAAAACTTGTTTTTTTGAAAAGTTGCTTCCTTCTTTAAATGTCTCTAGCAGCTGTCATTGATGTGGTGGCTGTTGCTCGTGCTCAACTGTTTTTTTTTATTACTCGAATTTGGGCTTTTTAATACAGCAACAATGTTCGCTACTGTCGCCTCGTGGGTTGCTGTAGAATTTTTTATTTTTTTTATTTTTTTATTGACATATTTCTTTTGTTTCCGAAATAGAAAAAAAAATTTATGAAGAGTTTCGTTATTTGTTTTTATCACATTTCGCAAATGAAATAATTTTAAAACATTTATTAAAACTGTATAAGTTTAACTTAAAAATAAGAAAAAAATTAAAAAAATCAAAAAAAAATCAATAAAATATCAATAAAAAATAGCACGCAATGGCATTCGAATATATGTACATGTGCGCTGTATATGCATGTGTGCGTGTGTAAATATTTGTATATTTAAAAAAATGTAGCACCGCAGGTTTCTTTTACTATGTACTCATATGTTTATATGTAGCTGTAGTTTAGTTAATGTTCGTTTAAATGTAGCTTTTTCCTAGCTTGTGTGTGTGTGTGCGTGTGTGTGTGAATTTGTATTCTGCGTTAGGGTTATTTTCGAAAGCCATAAATAAAACCATAAACTTATTTTCTATCTACACGTATTTCCAAATCTTCGATCTACGCTCCACCCGCCTCAAATGCCGCCAAGGCTGCTGCATAGATGTGGTGGACTATCGAGTAGCCCGTCAACACCTCGACGCCATCTTCGCTGACAATGCGACTGACACGTGGTGGCGTTCTATCGAGGGAACGCGCTTCATGTTCGGCGACAATTAGACTCATTGGCGACAAGGTTGTGGTTGTAGTTGTAGTTGTAGTTGTTGTTTCTGGCTGAGATGTTGTTGTAGTGGTTGTTATTAATTCAGGTTCAGGTGCACTGGTTGTTGTTGTTGTTGTTATTGTAGTGGTTTCTGGCGGAGAAGTTGTTGTGATTGTTATTATTTCAGGTTCAGGTGTACTGGTTGTTGTTGTTGTTGATGTTGTTGTTGCTGTTGTAATATCTACTTGATTTGGCATGTTTGTTGTAGTAACCGTTTCACTTTCGACTTCCTCCGTTTTTCCTGCTGTTGTTGGCGTTGCTATACTCTCACTCTCACTCTCACCGTCACTACCGCTATAAGCTTGCTGCTGAGGCTCAGTCGTTGTGCGTATGTGCAGCGGCTGCTCCTCGACTAAAGCAGAGTTTGTTGTAACTGGATCTGCTACTGTCTCTACCAGAGCTTCTACTGTTTTAACTTCTACTGCTTGTTCTACCGTTTCTGTTTGCAGCTCTCCGCTCTCAGCTGCTGGTGTTGTCATGTCTGGTACTGCTGACTCAATAGCGGTAAGCGTAGTTGCTGTTTCTGTTGTACTAACACCAGCGCTGCCACTACTCAAGGTCGCTGTCAACGTATCTGCTGTGTTTGTTATTTCAAGCGAAGGCACCGCAGCTGACTGTGGAATTTCTGTGCTTCCAACAACAACCGCATACGCTTCTAGTTCATGTTGTCTTGTAGTCACTTCTGGTTCCGGAAGTTCTTCTATCGTTGCTGGCGTTGTGGTAAACGGCGCCAAGGGCACATCAGTGGAGCTGTCTTTAGATTCTATCAGGTATGTAGTTGCTTGGATGCGTTCTGCGGTGCTTTCTGTAATTTGATGTGACGCTGCCGACGTTGCTTGCAATACTTCGCTTGGAATAGTTGTTGCCTCTGCTGGAGTTGTTGTTTCCTCAGTCCCACTCGAAAACTGTGTGGTATCCGCATGTTGTAGTGCAGCGGAGAGCGTTGTTGTTGGTAGTTGTCGTGTGTCGAGTGAGATTTCTAATGCTGCCGCCACTGAATGTTCTGTTGTGATCGGTAGAGCATCCGTGGCTGCGGCCTCGCTTATCTTTGGCAACTCTGTCTGGGCGTTAATCGGCGTGGTTGTATGTTGATTGGATGCCAGCGATGTTGTGGTGGACTCCGCTTGGTCAGCACTGTTTCCAGTAGTAAATGAATTTTCGTGTTGTGCTGCTGCAGGTGTTGTGTTTGTTGTAAGGCTTATATCCGAGTGTATTTCATATGCAGACTCAGTTGCAGCTTCTTTTTCGTCTGGAGTTATTGTTGTAATTACCTGCTGATGATTTAACTCCGAATATGTTGGCTGTAGTGGCGCAACATTTTCTGCAACTGTGGCTACTTCTGGTGTTGTAGTTGTCGCCGTTTTCTCGAGCTCATTCCAAGCTGTCGAAATAATTGTATTTGGCTCCTGTGCTTCACTTTCAACAGCAATCAGCGTCTCCAGCGGCTCCGTAGTGGGGGGAATTAAGGTGGGAATTTCGCTCAAGCTGGAAGTTGTGGTCTCATTTACTTCGCTGTCATCTTGAGCTATTTGCGCCTGCTTTACTTCTACAACTTCAGCGATTTGGGTTTCAGAAAATTCTTTATCCGTATCTGTGGCTTGAGGCGCTACTTGATTTGCGGTTTCTACAATATTTGTTTGCGTACGTACTACTGCACCATCGGCACCATTGTTTGGGTGCGGTGTTGATGCTTCAAAATCTTTAGGCAGTTCTATTGATTGTGGAGAGATATCGCCACTTATTGGCGTTGTTTCTAAGCTCTCCTTCGCTCTCTCTGCGCTCTCGAATTCTTTGGTTTTCGTATGTTCTGTCGATTCTGCCACCTCACTTGTCACTTCCATTAATTCGGTTGGCGTTTCCTCTTTATTCAACGCGCTGTGGTTGTGTTCCAGTAAGAAATCCCCAGCTCTCCATAGAATTGGTTCCACATTGGGTTGCTCATTAACAACTTCAGCTGCTGAGTTCGTGATTGACGCAATTGTTGTTGTTGTTGTTGCTGTTGTTGTTGTTGTTGGTTTTTCTTGAACATCAAGTTGTGTTGATGCCTTAATTTCAGGCGATTTTTCCTGAGCGCCGCCAGCCCCAAACGAGACATTCAAATCGCCAGTTGTGTCTGTACTAACTCGTTCCACTGTTGTTGCTGCAGTTGTTGCAGTAGCTATAGTTTTTTCACCATTTACTTCAATGCCTACATTTGTTGCTTTTGCCTTGCTGACGTTAGGCCGCCAGGTGACGGCGTCAACCGCTTCCGACAACCCTTCATTGTCACTCACTCTCGCAGTAGCAGCAGCAGGTCCATCAACAGAACCAGCTTCAGTATTGATTGCCCGCACTGGTTGTACAGTTGTTGCTATTGTATTTTCATTAGCCACAACAGCTGTCGCATTGGTCATGTTTGTGCTTGTTGCTGCCAGATTTGCAGCATTTAAAGCCGCTGCCAAAATTTCATTCGCCGCAGCTGCCGCTCTCACCAATTCATTTAAGATTTGCGGACTTTCGGTTGTAGCTGTTGGAGTCATTGTTGTTGTTGTATCCACTGTCTCTACAGTAACAAAATCCTTTTCATCACTCAGCCTACCGCCTTCGAGTGTGTCAACGGCATTGGCGATTTCATGCGCGATTACTTGTCGTTTTGCCTCTTCCGCATTTCGCCATATCCGTTGCATTGCCTCCAACTCATCTTCGGCGTATTTTCCCTCCTCTTTGACCTTCAATTCGGCAGCCGTTGTTGTCGCCAACTCTGCTACTACCGCTGCCACCTCAGCCAGCGCCATTTCCTCCTTCGTCATCGGCAACGAGGTGGGCGCCAGCTCGGCTACGGTATCGACTTCAGTGCTCGCGTATGGCTGAAGGGTTGCACCATCGGCTGAGGCGAAGCCATTTGGTATGCTGTTGGAAAGGTCAGCGTCAAGTTTGCTAATCTCCAGAGTGGCAGCTAATCCTTCGGGTGTTGTTGTTGATGCTGTTGGTTCGTTTAATGGCGCGGCATAAGCGGTAGTGATTAACGCCAGCGCGCAGGTCAGCGTGGCGTAGAACAAAGCGCGTCGGGTTAGCATTTTTTCCAATTTTCACGTTTTACTACTTTTTTTTTTTGTTTTTTTTTTTTGCTGCAATATTTCCCCTTTCGTTTGGAATGTCGTTTTTCACGTCGTTTTGTTTCAGCTGGTCGCGCACTACTATTGGGTTTTATGTGAATTTTCAATAAGCGTGCAACCTGTTTTTTACCTATAAATGTTTTAATTTATTTTTCAAATCCAACTAACTGGATTTTACACTCGCTAAAGCTTGTCGGCTGCTATTTCTCTTTGCCGTTCTTCAGTATAACAGCCATTTACCGACGACGAATGTGAACTGTCACCCGTCAGCACAAATGCTAATGGTCTCTTAGCTGCTGAATTCGAAATATTTCCATAGCTCTCAAAGCATCTGGTGCGTGTGTGTATGTATGTACATATTTAAATTCGCGCGCTTTCGATTTCTTGTTCGTTTCACGGTATTATTAATAAATACTTTTAATAAATTTTTTTTCTTTTTTTTTTGTTGTTGCTTTTTATTATAATTTTTTATTGTTTCTATTTTTCTTTACTTCGTTAAACGCCAACACGTATCGACTGACGCTCGGTCGGTTGCTCGAATATACATCTGTATATGTATCTATAATGTATATGTATATCGCGTAAGTACCGTTCACTTTGGTTGTGACTAGTTGCGTTTACGTTTGGTGAGGAACTAAACCCGCCGCACGGGTGCCCAATAATTTTAAGCACAAAATGCATACAACACACTCGTACAACAACGTACATTTTTCGTCGGCCAACCGGCTGGCTTCTTTGTCTGTAGTAGGTAGCTCCATCCATGGTAAGTTACCCCAGCCGCAGCCAGCGTCTCAGACTGAACGCGCGTTATTAGCGCGTTATTCGCATGAATCGTTCAAGTTTTCAAGTTGTTGCCGCTTTGTTGTTCTTTTGCATTTTTTCATCACCGTTAACTTTGTTGATTTTTTCGCACTCTCTGCCACATATTTTTATCTATATGTATATATATATATAGATATTTTTTTTTTTTTGTTTGTTGCTCGCTGGTGTCTTGAAAATATTTGCTTCTACTCAAATTCGCTCTGATCTACATTGTTTTTGTTTGCAATTTCAAAGCAGCGACCAAATTGTGGTTACTTTATAATTGCGGTGTCTAACAGTATTTACGTTTTCTCCGAATATTACTGATATTCATAGAGTAAATGCAATACCTGTTCTGTTCCGGCATATACATAAAAGGGATCTCATAGATTGGAACTGTGGCATGAAATGGCCGTAATTTCAGTGGCCGAAAATTTCAGTGGCCATAAATTTTAGTGGCCTAGAATTTATAAATACAAGCAAGATTTTCTTCTTCAATGAGGGGGATCCACAGTTTATTCCAAGGGGCCTCAAAACAGCTCATGCTTCGGGTCAGACCATAATGATACGTCAGATTTGGTGGTTCGCCCTTCGGATGGACTTGATGATATTAAATGACCTGTATATTGATGAGGTGGGCTACTACATTAACAACAAAAAAGCATACATATGAGGTGTGATAATTAAGTAATGAGACTGAATCCATAAAAACCGTATATTTCGAAATTATTCTACAACTCTGACATCCCCTTCAAAGTAGTCCCGTGTCAGCTATTCAACGATTCCAGCGCGTTTTCACTTCTTCGTAACATTTCTGCAACGTTTCGACGCCTGGATGCCCTCTCTAGGGGACTAAAAAGTCACCCGGTGACAATATCCGGCGAATAAGGCGCTTGTTGCAACACGGCCGAGCACTGGGACACGCTGAGGGCGATGTGGCACGGCGAGTTGACGTGATGAAGGATCCAATTACGAATGATGTCTGGACTCACCCTGTTGACTCATTTTCGCAAACTTTCGAGTAGTCGGCAATAGTAGACTTGATTTATGGTTTGCCCCAGTGGTAAGAAAGCTCCAGCTCTTGAGAATGTCGATAACTAAACACATTCCGATCTTCGGCTGCACTTTAACTTACAGGAGCAATATTTGAGGTGGAACAAGCAAAACTGTGATGTACAAACCTTTCAATATCTGTAACTGATCCAGTTTCTGCAATTTTATTTGCAATTCTACCAGTTGCTTGAGTATTTGACTGATGACGTGCACCATAATCTCCTCAAATATTACTTTTAAATCACCATTTTGGTAGTGAGTTTTAACAATTTTAACGCATTTTATGTTATTAAGCGATCCATTTTCATAAATTCCTGACTTTTAACTAAAACATGACATGTTTGGTTTGACAGTTAAGTTTAATAAATGTCAAAATTCAGTTCTGCACTTTAGTAACCACGAAACGGATAACCCCATATTTGTCAAACAAAGGCTCAGTTATTTGTTTCATATTCTTTATTATTCTTCCATTTTTTTTTTAAATAAAATCAATTTTTTTTGAAGATTTCAGAATCATGTGATTTTAAATATAACCACTTAATAGCGCTAGTTCGATATCTAAAACAGCATTTTGAATAAATTTTTTAATTGTAGAAACTGAACTCACTTAATCCACGTCTTTGTCTTCGATTCGTAGGGTGTGTTGGCGCAAAAAACTATCAAAGCGCATTGCAAGGCATTGTTGTTGTTGTAGTTTTTTCCATTACTAATAAACGCATTGGCATTGCTTTCATTAATGATTGCCATTTACCGCTCTTATTATTGCGATATTTTGTTTTTTATAAATATTTGTTGTTATTGTTAATTGCCACGACTTGAATGCGGCGTAATGATTTAGGCGCGTGGTAAAAACGCAATATGTGTTATGCATGTACATGTATTGCATATGTATGTTATAAACTCGTGCATATGTATGTGAGTGTGCTTGATTGGTTTTACATTCTTCTGTTAGCTTGGGCGCCTCAGCCACAGCACACTCCCATGTTGCCATAAGAAGTTATTATTTGATTTTTCCATTTAATCATTGATCTCTTTTTTTTTTTTGCATGCCGATATACGAGTGCACATACAAATGTACATATATACATCCACTTACGTGTACAATGTGCATAGATGATTGCATTGAGTTTGTTGCTTAAGTCTTTTGTTTGCTTCCATCTCTCATTTTTATACCCGCTTGTGGGGTGTACAGCGGGTATATTGACTTTGTGCTGCTAATGATTGTATGTAACTGCGTAAGTAAATTGCGTTAAATACTTGCGTACGTACACCTATAATATACATATATATAAATCTTATGTTCGTTTGTGAAGATCCGATAATCTTCAAAAGTTCCATACCGATCGATTTGCGATTACGCTGATTTCTTTTAAATGGAATTTTTAGTTCGACTGACTTGAAATGCGATATTTAGATGGTTTATGCTTGGATTGACAGGGCGACTAGTCTTCCCTCCGATCAGTGGACCAAGCACCGAACTTTTCGAAAAAAAAATTTATTTATGGTTCGATTTACAGGAAATTCGGTGGGTTTTTGTCTTTATTTTGAAATTATTACATCACGGGAAGTGGATCGATCTGTTTGGAAAAAATCATATACACATATTAATGGTTTGTTCAAGCTAAAGGGAATACCCCTGTTTCCTGGAATTGAACCAGAGACCTGGAAACCAGTTCGATTTGTTCGAATAATAAATAATACTTTTTTTATGGCAAGGAGATCACACAATGACAAAAATTAGTTTGATTTGTACATAAGCACAGATCGTGCATTGGTTTCTTTGCTTCACATTTAGATGACTTTGAAGCTACGGGTTAAGCTTGACTCTGAATGAGATCCGAATGGTGCGTTAGGTCCACTTCGAGGCATTCATATTGATATTTTCGTGAAAAACTTTGAGCAACGAAGAATAGTCAGTCGGTAACTTTCCAAAAAAAAAAAGTTGCCTAGGTAAGGAAGATAATTCTGCTTCAAATTATGTGAAACCTGCAAACCAAAACAAAATATAATATTATAATTGATAAATAGATGTAATAATCAAGGAATGTGAAAATTGTGATTTTTGACAAAATGAAGGCTTCAAAGAAGTGGCTTAAAAAATCGAAATTATTGTCAAACATTTTATTCCTTCATTACTTCTGAGTTAATTATCTTGGGTTGAGTCTGCATCTTGTGAAAGAATGAAAGATTCAATTCGATGATGCGGTTGAATCACACGACTATGGAAAAACTACATCCGTGCTCATCAGCAAAAGAGGAAAGCAAATCAGAAGATTCTAAGCTAAATTTGCTCTGCCCAATCCATAAGAAGGGCGACCTCAGAGTCCGTACCAATTTATCATGTTTCCGCGGCAGTGGTAGCCGAGTGGTTAGCATTACGTAGTGCCATTCGGAAGGCTCGTCTACAAGTCCTGGTATGGCCAACATCTAAAAGTTATAGAAAATTGATTTAAAATAAAAAACTAAGTTAAATTTTCTAATTGCGTTCGCCCCTCGTCAGGGCATGTCAACCGCTGCGCGTGCACTTCTGTCATGAAATAAAGGCTCCGCGTAAAAACCATTTGTTGGAAATCCATAAAGACACAGAACCACAAATTGGAGGAAGAGCTCGGCCGGAAATAGGTTCAGCGGTTACCAGGCGCCAATTATATATGTGAAAAAAAAAGAACTACAGTTAATTCAAGAGACGGTAAGCACATTCGATCAGTAACAGCCTAGTAGAGCTGTTTAGCTTTAATATTGATTTTTGTTCTCCTCTCACTTGCGAAACGTAAAATTTTTTTTTAAAAATAATGCGAAATTCAAATAGAAATTAATAGAAATACGAAAACATTATTAAAGCATAGCGGTGCCAACCAAAACCACTCCCTACCTTACTTGCTTTATTTTTTTTTGTTTTTGTTTTTTTTTTTTTGTGATTTTATATTAAAAATGTTGGTAAATATTTCACATGCAGAAGTTTGTTTGCACTTAAAAGTGTATTTGGCGGGCAAACAAATGATTTCGTGAGCGGAAAACCAAGCTGATGATACATCAATTATTCGTTTATTTTTATTTTCAAAATTAACAAATAAATATTTGAATATATGACACATGGGTATGCACATATGTACAAGCGAGTAAACTCATATTTTTGGTTTGTGCCATGTGTGGGCTAAACACTGACTAGTTGACTGGTTTGGAAAAGAATTCATAATAAATTTATAAATGCTAAAGACTCATTGTATATTTGTGTGTGTGTGGAAATAACAGTGATTCAAAATTTAAAAAAAATTAAAAAAATAAAAACCGGTTATTAATCATATAATTTAGGCATTTTTTTGTATTTTAATATTATTGCTACTTTTTAAATATTTATTTCAAAGCAGATTCGCTTTGCTTTGCCGCCTGCTTGATTTAGTCACCGAATGAGTTCGAAACATACAGATTTTTCACACAATTTCACTGCGCAATGCTGATTCTAAATAATTTCATTTGTACTCAAAATTTCTTGTATTCATTGGTTTTCTTACAACTAATTTTTGCGATACCGTTAAGCTCAGCTGTAAAGTAGCATTGGTGATTTTCAATTCAAAATTGAGAGCAGCGCAAACAAAGCACTCAGTTTCGCTCAGCTTTGTGAAAGCTGCGTGATAAATTAATAAGAGCCCGAAGCAATCTTAAATTATACCCGGCATTTTGTTTATAAGAAAGTGAAGACTTTCATGTAGCCAATTCCAGTGAGAGTGTATTTTGCAAAATTTTAAATATTTATTTTTAATA